AGAGAGAGAGAGAGAGAGGTTAATAGAGAAGAAGAGAGGAGGAAGGAAGCAGTGTGAGCACAGAGGAAGCAACTTTCACCTCCTTCCAGTTAACAACGATCAGTACATCAGGAGGGAGGTGCTCCTTGATCACAGCTCATTAACAACTAAACTATTCTGCTTTCTTCAGGGTCTCCTGATCAAATCGATCTGAAGGACGTCAATCGTCTCAGTTCAGGGGCTTCGTCCTTCGGAGGCTGCATTTGGAGACCGACTGCTGATTCTGAAGCCTCCTTCAAATGCGTTTTTCCATCTCCGAGAAATAAAGGCGCCAACGGACGGATCCTTCCTGTCCCGACCTATCCCAGGATTCATTGCGCTTCAGTGACGAACCGTGTTGTAAAGAGGTTATGACGCTTCGACTCAGCTGAACTTAGCTAACGCTACTAATGTTAAAACTTCCACTTCAGCTCTGGCGGCTGGAGCTGGTGACGGCGATCACGTAAACAAAAGAAGAAGAACGGGCCTGACTTCTTCGTTTGGTCCATGTCCCATCCACTAACGTGGAGGAGGCAGGGTTTCATGAACTATACTTGATTTGGCTTTACTTTAATGAGCTGTCAGGTTCATTCATCTTTCTTTACTCGGTGGTTTCAGGCAACACTTTGTCCCGGCTCACTTTAACCTGATTAGTAGATGAGATTGTTCAGGACGAGCTGATGATGCTCACGAACTCGTTGACGGGTTTTCACCTTTGTTGCTCGTAGCTTCTTCTCGTATCGACTCTTCTCTCCTTCCAGCTCGTCCACTCTGCTTTTCAGCTGCTTCACTTCTTGTAACAGATCCTGTAGAAAATACAAAAACAAAACACCACAACTTTAATTTCTCCCGTTTCGAATCTGCACATGCACATGCCAACAATTTACACGCTGGGGGGGGGGGGGGGGGGGATTCGGACGTCAGGTTCACATTCAGTGCGGTTACAAAGGTCTCCAGGGCTGAACAGTCCAGGGGTTAATAAAGGAAACATGATCCTCCTGAAACAGACACCACAGCGTGCAGTTATCAAACGGCCGGGGGGGAAGGATGAACCCAGAGCAGGACTGAAAGCATCCAGGCTGCACATCAGGCGGTCCGAGGAAACCCTGCACAGCGTCTCATTATACAAACCGTTACATGACCCCTCCACCTGGTCAGTGTAGGAGGACTGTGTTAGTAGAGGGAGGAACCACTGTCATGCAAGAGAACTACGTCAAATCACTCGATCTGATCCAGAACCCAAGATTCATAAAGACAAAATCCAGACCGGGGCTGAAACGTGTTTTTTTTCCAAATGCTTCAAACACGTGAGGAGTCAAAGATTCTGCGTCCACCAGAAAAAAAATTACTTTACTTCCTAAACTACCTGATGATTTTGTGTTTTAATTTACTTCACTTTACTTTAGGATATTTGACAACTCCTCAAACGTATATATGGAAGTATTTGGAAAAACAATCGACAGTCTCCATTTCTGCAAGAGCCAGAGCACAGCGTGACTCCAGCGTCCTGCGACACACACAGACACTTCACGAGAGGTTGTTAGTTTGATTCTGTGGAAATATCCAAATACCGGGTGGTGTGTGGACGGGTTAAGAAAAGGGGAGAGGACAAGATGAGAAGAAATGATGGGGGAGGAGGGGAAGATGAGTTCATCCATCAAGTCTCCCTACGTGTACAGTCTGTCCTCCATTGTGCATCCAGGCGTCAGAGCCGGGGAGGCTAAGGTCAGAGCCGGCTAACCCAGGCTGAGGGCCCTGGCCCTGGGCTTGGCTGCCTCTGGGCTCCCCCTGCTGGGCCTCCCGCTCCTCCAGGGCCCGTTTCTCCTGGATGCGAGTGCTGATCTCTGCCTGAAACCTGCACATCTGCTCCTGGAGCTCACTGATGAGATTTACCACACACTGGGAACGATGGAGGAGGTGAGATGATGATGATGATGATGATGAGGAGGAGGAGGAAAGCAGGAATGAGTGAGAGGAGAGGAAGAGGAGAGACAGACATTAACTTATTTGTTCATCTTCATCAGTACTTGGGGAAGTCCTGTTTCCATAACTCGATGACTGTTTGCTGAAAAAGCTCAAACACAAAGAAACTAAAACCTCTGAACTACATCAAACACAAACATGAATTGCAAAATAAATCAAATGAAATAATTAGTTTGGAAAATCCGAGCCCTGAAAAGAAATTCTTGATTAATGGGAGAAAAAGTTTTCATTAAATTAAAATACTTAAATAGCAAATACAGATGCAGCCATCTTGAAGACATCGGAGTCTGTGCAGTAAACTTTATTCGATTGCGAGGAGAACAAAGTGCTTTTGACTTCTGTGGAGCCGTCATCGTGTCTGTCTTCATAGCTGCTATAGTTTTATCACCCCCAGACTCAAATGATGATTTTTTTAAATCACTAAGTTTGTCCAAATGCAAAACGCTCTCTCACTGACGGGGTCCTTCCCTCAGCGGAGCAGCACAGGGTCTCAACCCTCCATGTAATAGCTCCACCCCGAGCACCAGGCTAATTATAACATACTTGATCTCCGGCCAAGTCTGGTCCCGGCTGAAACAGAGAGTTAAAACCAAAAGAGGGAGACAGGAAGAGAGGATCAGACAGATGTGCTGCAGAAACAACGGGAGACGCTCAGGAAAACAACACATTAAACTCCACGAGCTCTCGGCCTGAAAGAAACTCACAACTCTGAGGTTCGTGGAACTGAAAACGCAGCGTCGTCAGATTCAAAAGCTTGTTCCTGAAAAGTTGCTGTTTCAGTAATTACATCGTTAAACACAGAGCACTGGTGCAGCGTGTTTCTACTTCAACAGTCTTTGCAATTCATAAAGCACAGACTGAATAAAAAGATGGACGACAGCTGGCCCTTACTGAGGCCTCCTCCATGTTAACGAAGAGGACTCGGGCCAAATACAAAATACACGTCAAATAATCTTTCTGTCATTGGAGGTAGCTCTTATCACTCTGATGAATATTCAAATGTTCTCTGCCCCAGTTAGTTTGGTTTGAATTACTATGATGTTATAACTATGACATCCCGGCTCTCCAGTCGTAGCTCGTTTCAGTCCACATACACCTTTTGTCCACATGAGGTCACTGTGACCTTTGACCCTAGCACACTGTACTAATCAGTCCATCTCTGAGTCCAAGTGAATGTCCATCTTCATTTACACTCCATGGTCCTGCCGAAGGACACGGGTGGAGTCAGCGAGGGATCGAGCAGCCCACCATGTGATTAGCGGTTCCGCTCTACCTCCTGAGCCGCAGCTGCCCAGGATTCAAAGTGTTCATCGGACAGCAGAGAGTTTATTTTGTTCCTGCGGCTCCCTGAGGTAAAAGTGTTTGGCCAACAGGAATGCTCAGAGTGGATGTCTGTCATTCCTCCTGCCAGACCAACTGTCTCTCACACACACACACACACACACACACACACACACACACACACACACACACACAAACACACACATGCACGAACACACAAACTGCAGACGTGAGTCAGTCTCCACCGTAACCGAAGCCAAACACCCCCGTTGTGCGTTGGATGTGTTGGATTTGTGCACCACACTTCATATCTCATTGCTCCACTCACCGAGCATCAACATGTCGGAGTCGAATCAGCTCCGTCTGACGTGGACACTTACTGAGCCGGACCGGGGCCTCCGGCTCAGAGGAGCAGCCTCGTGATCCCTGAACCAGCCCGAACATCAGACTGGAGGAAACGGATGAGTGCAGCTCTTTCTGCTGAAGTGCCCTTGTGCCTGACATGTGACTGTGACTACTCTTAATGCTTAATGCCAGTCTGTGAACCGATGGAACAGGACGTCGGTCCAATGCTTTGGTTCAGACGGATAGAAACTGACTTTCACGATCCTATCGAGTCCTTTAGCTCCACCCTGAGGTTCACTTCAGTTTTTATGAAATGCTCAACAATCGTCAGATGGGCTGCAACGAAACTCACACTCATGACACTCGTGCCCCCTCGGGGATGAAACGTACAGATTTTATTGTTCCTTCAACTTTTATTGCGTTAAACTTGGTTTTAATAAAAATGTGGAATTGCAAACCAGCGAACACACAAAATAATCTGGAACCCAAAAGTAGAACCGCCACCAGCAGCGAGGCCCAACAATCACTTCCTTTCATTCGAGCGCTTGGTCTCTCAGTTTGAGAGCATCTGCTCACGCTCTGCGTCCTGCAGGGTTTCAGAGTGTGAAGTTTGTCTTGCATGTTCATTTTACGCCTTGCAGGATGGAAAACAATATTTCCACAGTGCATTTTGTCACTTTTCATCTTTCAATCTGTCCATCACTGTCTCTCATCCTCTCTTTTCCTCTCCTCCCTCCATACCTCTCTCTCTCTCTCTCCTGTCAAGCCCTCTCCTCGCTGTCTCTCTCTATCCGTCCCACTGACGCTCATCTCACTCCATCCATGTGCATGTGCAGAACAAAAATGCTGTATCATATTTGTTCATTGAAAGAACAGCCCCGGGTGCCTTGTGTCAGAAGAATACACACACACACACACACACACACACACTTGCGGTGCCGGTGGGAGCAGCTGGGTGTCACAATGAACTTAGTCCCCACAAAGAAACCGGAGACGACAAGCGAAGACAGCTCGACTGCACTTTTCTGGTGCCTCCGCTCTTATTCGTGTCTGTAACGCACTATTAAAAGTTACATTTAGTTTTACAGTGCACGTGGGATCGGTGATGTCATGATGATGCAGTGATCGAGTTCAAACGACGACATCTGAATTTGGACTTTCACCAAATCCTGTCTGAGGTTGAACTCTTTAAATGACGTTTCAAAATGTTGACTTGGTGTCAGACTGTCTGTGCGTCTGTCCGCAGGCTGCAGTTGAAACTGTTTGGAAAGACGGTTTGAAGCGTTCTGGCTCGTTTCCGAGCCTCCACACAGAAACTTGTATCTCCTCCAGACGTATTTCATTAACTGCTCTGCCAGAGAGGTTAGACGGGGGCAGACATGTCTGAGTGTCGATGTTATTGTATGATTTCAGTTTGGGATAAAATACAACTACGATAACTTGGAATTGGTTTTGTCAACAATAGTTTCTGGAGAAACCTGGCAGTGCTTCTGAATTTCACTGAATGTGTACAGAGTTCAAGCTGCTGGCAAAGGATGGTGAAGCTATCGGTGCTTCAGTGAGGTGGGTGGAGAGTGTTTCAATAACTGTGAACAAAGATGGACGACCCGTCTCGACTATATATATATATATATATATATATATATATATATACACATCATGTTTGTTAGGATTGTCCATTATGAGCTTTCCTGTTAGTTTCACTATTAAAGTTTTATTCCAGTTCAAATGTAAAGAGGTAAAGAGGCCGTGACGCAATTCAAAGGCGACAAAACGAAAGGTCCTGAAACCGCGAAGAAAACTGGGGATTTCTCCAGATTTCAAACGTTGTTGGAAACATTTCGGATGATGTGAGAACACAAGTCAACAACATATATGAGATATTTGTTTTTAGACGTTTTAATGAAGAACTGCAACACGGATCTCTGTGTGTAAATACAGGCATCATCCAAATGATCGATCCCTGGAGGAAAGAAGACGCAGCCGCAGCTCTGAGCCTGAGGCAGCATGAGCTCAGTGAAACACACACACACACACACACACACTTCCCATACCTCGGCTTTGTTCTGCTTTGTGTCCACAGCATCTTGTGGTTGTGTGTCGGTGTGTGTCTCCTCCATGCCGACCAGCTTCAGTTTGAGGCAGGACACCTCGTCCATCAGATCCAGCTTCTGAGTCTCCAGAGACGTCCTGCTTATCAGCTCCTGGAGAACACACACACACACACACACACACACACAGATACACACACAGAGATCAGCTCAGTATAAAGTTCTTCCCACACTGAGCGAGCAGACCAGGCCGGGGGCCCAGACCCCTCGGAGCTAAATATACACACTCACACACTAAGGACTCTATTAATATATCTCTTTGGCCTGGGAGAGAGAAAAAGAAAAATCTGAAAGCGCAGTCAACTCAACATTTCAATTTGTCAACTCCCAGTGTGACTCTTTCTTTCGTTTCCTCATTTAAACAACGTGTAATCCCACTTCTTCTTCTTCTTCTTCTTCTTTCCTGAACTTCAAACCTTAAAAGCCTGATTGTCGTTCAGAACCTCAAACTTCCAACTCCGTCGTCCTCTGTGAGATGAAACGTTTCAGATGAAGTTGGAAAAGAGAGAGAAACATTAACTCAGAGTGTTAATTCCTGTTTTGACTTCAGCCAACGACGATGCCACAGGTGAACGATCTGAAACATGTCAGTGAAAGTGTTCAAGGACGAGTCAGCCTCATGATGACGAACGTGTTGTGCTCTAGACGTACAGGTGTGAACCACAAACTGAAAATAAACATGGACGACGTCCACGAGAGAAAGAAGCATCACGACTGAACAGCTGAAAGTGACTCGTGATTGGTCAGGGGCGTGTGTGGGGGCGGGACCACGACGTTGTGGATCCACTCAATCGCCAACATAAGATGGCGGTGATTGAGGAAGTGGAGACGTGGCGGCCATCTTTATTTACAGGTTGGACGACAGAGGCAGCTCACGCTTGGTTCCTCTGCTTCAGGGAACGGAAGATTCATTTTAACGAAAAACTGAAATCGCTGTGTGATGAAAAACCGGACAAACGTCATGACTGACGGCTTCATTTTTCAGGAGGAAGTGGAGACGCTTCCTCCGTCTCACAGTCTGTGGTGTGAAAGCAATCGAATCGAAATAACGACGTGGTGCGGGACGCATGTGGCCACGTTCTTTTAGCTGCACGTGCACTAATGTGCACTACAGACGAGAAAAGTGCTAAACAGATAATTTTACCACGGTCCAACCACGGAGGAACCGTCGCACCTAATGGACAGATCCTATGATCAACACAGTGTCAACACCACCGCCACAGACAGACGGACAGACATAACCCCATAATAACTGGACACACACACACACACACACACACACACACACACACACAGGGGAAATCTGCTTAGCTATGGCAGCTGAGTGTCAGTTCGGAGCAGCCAGTGTCACTTGCACCGAGCTAAGCCGAAGTCTTTAGAGGTAATTTATCAGAATGGTGTGGTCGCGTCCCGCAGCTCAGCTGTCTGACATTTGCTTTGCCTCAATTACGAGGAGCAGCACGTGACGGACGATCTGCTCGGCAGCACTTATAGATTTCTGTGAAGAGATTACTCTCGTCTCCTGGACGGGGGTCAGACGTGATGCTTGGATTTGGACAGCAGCCAGAGAATGTGATTTCAAGATTAAATTAATAAATAAATGAAAATAAAATGTGCATTTCCATAAATGAATTACACGCTGACACAGATCAACATTGTCCTTGTTGCTATTTTCAAAAAGTACATCATATTCAGAAGACTTTTCTAAGGAGACAAAATCAGTGACTTGGCTCATTTTGCCCCAAATAATTACAAACCTCACACACTTCATTTTATTCTCAGTGTCTCCAGATTCTAATTATTTCACTGTGAAGTCCAATTCATCAAGTTACAGCAGTGTTCGGTTTTCACCTCTGAGCTGTTAACAAAACATTTCTCACATGAACGTGTCAGGAAACAGTGACAGCGTCAACATCCATCTGTGTGTGTGTGTGTGTGTGTGTGTGTGTGTGTGTGTGTTGTGAAGGATATTAAGGCACAGCAGCAAATGTAGTCACTGTATGACTGCATGTGTGGGTGGAGCTCCTTTAGTATGATGACACAGTGTGTGTGTGCATGTGTGTGTGTGTGTGTGTGTGTGTGTGTGTGTGCACGCTGACTCAGGACTATTTCTTATTAGATTAGTTGTGGTTCCCACAGCAAGTAGCAGCAGCAGCAGCAGCCCTGCGGCACTGACACATAATGTTACATGGCTGGATGGACTCTCTGTGTGTCTTTATCAGACACACACACACAC